CATCTTGAAATCTCTCAGACAGCTTTGAAGGCAAGAAACTGAAAGAGGACAGAGGACATTAAAGTCATACTCATATGAGGCTACAGATTTTTTTTTCCTTCTTTCCCTCCTCTCCCTTTTCTGTGATTATAGACTATAGTATCCAGTCTACTTTTTTGTTGTTGTTGTTTTGGTGGGGGGTTTTTTCTTTTGCTTTTGCTGTTGCTGTTTTGCTGTTTTATGCTCCCCCTTCTACCTTTGGGGAACTCTTTCTCTCCCTATACTATCCAAGAAGAGACAGCAACTGCTGCCATATAGTCAAGCTACAATCACTCTATGAAACACCAAAATCCAGACAAGAACTAATACCAACTGCTATATACCAGGGAGACAGACAACACCAGTGAAAGTTACTCTGAGTTAAGCAATAATAAGAGTGAAAAAGAAAGCCCAAATCTTCATCACACCTACCTGGAAGCAATGAGAAAGCATAAAAAATACCAAAACACATATTCAATTGAGAATTAAGGCCACAGCTAAACACTAAACATGTCCAAGAAGTAAAAACAGATGACCATATCAGCACATGTCCAGAAACAAGATAAATGTCTGAGACAAGTGACTTAGAGGTAGACCTGGACTCCATTCTAGAAGGAGGGCAGGCCTTGGAAATGCCTAAAAATGAATTCAGAAAAATGATTATAAAATGTTTCAAAACACTTTACATGGACTTGAGGAAAATAAAGAAGAAGTCAGGAAAGCATTACAGGAACAATCAAATAAGTTAGATATAGCATTGGAAACAATATAAAACCTACAGAAAGAGGTCCAAATGATGAATAATAGAATATCAGAAATAGACAATACACTGAAAGGGCAAACAAGTAGAATAGAAGAGATGGAAGGCAGAACCAGGGAGCTGGAAGGAGAATCTCTCAATACCACTAAGATAGAAGAGCAAACAAAAAAAGATTTTAAAAAAATCTGAAGAGGTCTAAGATTCATGGTGGATAACATGAAGAGGAATAACTTAAGAATTATTGGAATTCCAGAACTAGAAGTATCACAAAAGTCCACAAAGGAAATAGTTGAAGAACTATTGGAAGAAAAATTCTCCAACATCCTGAAAAGTGAAAAGATAAACATTCAGGAAGCTCAATGAACCCCAGGAAGGATAGTCCCCAAAAGAAAATCACCGAGACATATCATAATCAAGCTTTCCAAAATCAAAGATAAGGGGCTGATGCAATGAAATGCAGATGGGTCTCTTGTGATACAATAGTGAATAATTGTTATCAGGATTGATTATGAGGGCTGGAAATGTAAAGGTAGATGTTTTATAGCAAGGAGGGGAGTGATTAACTTTTCAGTCTAGGAGCAGAGGTCCCTAGGACCATCAAGGGAGAAGAGCAGAG